CCCCAAAACCCCAAAACCCCAAAACCCCAAAACCCCAAAACCCCTGGTGTAGGGGGTAAGATTGATAATAATGTGGTCAGATTTGTGATGGGGATTGATGAAGAGTTTAGTTGGGTTAGGACTGGGGTTTGGGCTCTATATGGCTTATTTGGTCATTGTAAAGCCGCTGATGTTCAGGAAGAGGTTTGGAGAGTATTCTAATGTGTATGTTTCAGAGAAGTTTTATCCCTTGGTAGGAGATATGAACAATGAGATGCAATGCATTAAAGAGGGCAAGGTGCATTACTCTCATTATGCAGAGAGAGCAGAGATTGTCACAAAATATGACTTACAGGCCAAAATGGAAGGGATTGAACCTACTATCATCCTAATCAGCAATGAGGCTTGAAAGCAATTCTGTAACTTCATGCCCAATTCGATAGATAGAATCAATAATAGAAAAGGATTCTCTGAGATGCTTGCCTACTCGATGACTGTGAATAGTAGTACTCCTGTAACTATGCAAAGAAGGAAGAATTTCTCCTCATGGGTAGGACTTAACTCTGCATCCAAGTACATTCCTCGCATGATTGAATGCTGTCAGGAGACACTAGATGAAATGAATAGTGAAGAAAAATCTAATCTTTTGCACCAAATTAACAAATTAACGTTTGATGTCTTCACCAAAATCTTATTCGGTAGTGATGTTGAAGCTCTTGTCACAAAGCTGTATCCTTACGAGAATCCAGATGGAATAATAGAAGATGTGACTCTAAGAGAGTTCTTGATTAGGCTATCCATAAAATATGCAGACCAGCTATATAATCCAATAACATTTATTTTCCCATTCTTTGCCAAGCAAAAGTTAATAAATCCTTACAAGAGAGACTATAAGAACCTCCAGGTGTTTAGGGCTGCATTGAGTAAGATCCTTTCAACTTCACAAGATAAGAGTACTATTGGGAACAAGTTCTTTAAAGCACCTGGCCTCAGTGAAGATGAAGGGCTGGATGACCTCTTCTCGGTAATGGTTGGAGGCACCGAGACAACCGCACATGCAATGGTGTCCTGTCTTTATTTCTTGAAGAAGTACCCACATACCCTTAAGAAGTTCAGAGAAGAACTTGTTAAGTGTGGATTTAAGAAGGATTGTGATTACTCAAAGCAATACACTGTTGAAAATATCCAGAATTGTACGTATCTTAACAGTTTGGTGAGAGAAACCTTGAGAAGAGATACTGTCGTTCCAAGCGGGGGAGACTATTCTACAAATGAAAATATCGAAATTTGTGGAGTCCCAATCCCTAAAGGAACGAAGCTTAAGCCAGATCTTGTATCAAACCATTTTGCTGAGAGCCAATGGCTTGAACCCTTTGAGTTTGTCCCAGAGAGGCACGACATCGAGTCAGATTTCTATAAGAAATCAAGAGAGGCAGGCAAGGTCGAAGATGTCTATTCGAGAAGATCTTTTGCTCATGGAAAAAGGAATTGTCCTGGACAATCATTCGCTATTATGCAATTGAAAGTAGTCATGGCATTTTTCGCAACACACATGGAGTATTCATTTGAGCAGAAAGATTTAGAAACGGAAGGAATTGGATTTGGATTAGGCTCTCAATTCTGTCCTACCATATCTGTTTCTAGAATATAGCATATAATATTATTTTCAAAAATGAAGATACTAAAGGGGTTTTGGGGTTTTGGGGTTTTGGGGTTTTGGGGTTTTGGGGTTTTGGGGTTTTGGGG